AGTTTTTCTCTTTTCTTCTTTTCCTAGTTCCTAATGTAAAGTCAGGTTGTTTATTTTATATTTTTCATCTTTTTAAATATAAGCATTTATTGCTATAAACTATAGCAATATATCTTATATGTTATCGTGTTATGTTTTCAATTTTATATGTTTCAAGATATTTCTTAAATTCTCTTTTGATTTTTTCTTGTATCCAACAGTCATTCAAGAATGGGTTATGAGGCTAGGCCCTTACAGCTGTAATCCTAGCCCTGTGGAAACCCAACGCAGGTGGATTGATCACTTGACCTCAGGAATTAGAGACCAGCCTAAGCAAGAGACCCCATCTCTCCTAAAAGTAGAAAAACTAGCCAGGTGTGGCGACAGGCACCTGTAGTCCCAGCTATTCAGGAAGCTGAGGCAGGAGGATCACTTGAGCCCAAGAGTTCGAGGTACCTGTGAGCACTCTAGCCTGGGTAACAGAGTGAGACACTGTCTAAAAAAAAAAAAAAAAGAATGTGTTGTTATGCAGTTAGATAAACTATATAAGTTCTAATATTCGATAGCAGGATAAGGTGTCCATAATTAGCAATGATATATTGTATATTTCACGGTAACTTGAAGAATTGAAATGTGCCCAACCCAGAAAAGAGAAGTACTTACGTAAGATGATGTATTATTTAGTTTCCACATATTTGTGAGTTTTCCAGTTTTCTTATTGTTATTCATTTGTAGTTCCAATAGGTTGTGGTTGGAAAAGATACTTGGTAAGATTTAAATTTTCTTAAATTTGTTAAGACTTGTTTTGTGACCTGACCAGCAATCTATCCTGGGTGTGCTTGAAAAGAATGTGTATTCTCCTCCTATTGGGTAGAAAGTTGTGTATACACATATATATATATCTGTTAGGTCCATTTGGTCTATTTTATTGCTCAATTCTTCTGTTTCTTTATTGATTTTCTGTCAGGATGGTCTAACCATTATAGAGAGTGGGGTATTGAAGTCTACTCTTATTATATTGCTATCTATGTATCGGTTCAGATATGTCAGTGTTTGCTTTATATATGTAGGTACTTTGATGTTGGGTGCATATATATTTATAATTGTTGCATCTTCTTGGTGAATTGACCCTTTTGTTATTATATAATGACCTTATTTTTCTCTTGTGATAATTTTTGACTTAAAGTCTATTTTTTCTGATGTAAGTATGGCCACCACTGCTCTCTTTGGTTACAATTTACATGAAATATCTTTCTCCACTTCTTTACTTTCAGCCTATGTGCATCCTTAAATCTATCGTGAGTCTCCTGGCCAGCACAGTGGCTAATGCCTGTAATCTTAGCACTCTGGGAGGCTGAGGCAGGTGGAGTTCGAGACCAGCCTGAGCAAGAGCAAAACCCTATCTCTACTAAAAATAGAAAATCTGTCTGGGCATTGTGTCAGGTACCTGTAGTACCAACTATTTGGGAGGCTGAGGCAAGAGGATCCCTTGAGCCCAAGAGTTTGAGGTTGTTGTCAGCTATGATGCCATGGTACTCCACCCAGAGCAACAGAGTGAGATTCTGTCTCAAAATAAATAAATAAATAAATACATTTATAGCTATTTTCCTGTAGACAGCACAGATAACATATAGTTGGGTCTTTGTTTGATTTTTCTTTCTCTTTTCTTTCCCTGATCAGCTACTCAATTCTATTAGATTGGGAAGTTTAGTGTATTTACATTTAAAATAATAATGATTATTGATACATAAGGACTTTTTATTGCCATTTTGTTAATTGTTTTCTGTCTGTTTTGTAGTCTTCTTGTTCCTCACTTCTTCTCTTGCTTTCTTTAAAGTTTTGTGATTTTTGTTCTTAGATTATTTTATCTTTATCTTTTGTGTATCTACTGTACTCTGTGTGTGTGGTTACCATGGGGTTCAAATTGAACACTTTATAGTTATAGCATCTGTTCTAAGCAGATAACTTCAATCACACACAGAAATTCTACAATTTACTCCCCCACATGCAGTTTATATAATTTTTATATTGTTCTCATTGACAAATTTCTCTCATCATAGTTATTACTACTGCTTTTGCCTTTCAATCTATGTACCAGTATTAATAGTGATTTATGGCTCGGCACCTATAGCTCAACCAGCTAAGGCGCCAGCCACGTACACCTAAGGTGGCGGGTTTGAATCCCCAGCCCGGACCTGCCAAACAACAATGACGGCTGCAACCAAAAAATAGCCGGGCGTTGTGGCGGGCGCCTGTGGTCCCAGCTACTTGGGAGGCGGAGGCAGGAGACTCGCTTGAGCCCAGGAGTTGGAGGTTGCTGTGAGCTATAATGCCACGGCACTCTACCCAGGGAGACAGCTTGAGGCTCTGTCTCAAAAAAAAAAAAAATAGTGATTTATACCATCATTATAGTATTATAATATTTTGTGTCTGTCTTTATTTACCTTTAGCAATGAGATTTATACATTCATATGATTTCATGTTATTATTTAGTGTCATTTCATTTCAACTTGAAGAACTCCTATTATAACTTCTTGAAAAGCAGGCCTAGTGAAGACAAACTCCTACAGTTTTTATTTGTCTGTGAAAAATCTTTATTTTCTTTTCATTCTTTTTTTTTTTTTTTTTTTTTTTAGCCAGGGCTGGGTTTCAACCCACCACCTCTGGCATATGGGGCTGGAGCCCTATTCATTTGAGCTACAGGCACTGCCCTTTCCCTTCATTCTTAAAGGACACTTTTTTTGTTGAAAGTGTTTTTTTTCTTTTTCAGTACTTTGAATATATCTTCCCACTCCCTTCTGGCCTGCAATGTTTCTGCTAATAAATCCACTTGTAGTCTTATATGTAACAATTAGTTTTCTCTTATTGCCTCCAAATTATATTTTTGTCTTTGACTTTTGATAATTTAATTATAATGTGTCATACTATAGACTTCTGTAGGACCAACCTATGTGGAGACATTAGGGCTTTACGAATTGAGATGTTCATTTCCCCCCTAAACTGGGGTAAGTTCTCACACATTATTTCTTTAAGTAAGCTCTCTCCCCCCCATCATCCTTTTAACACTTTCATATGTATATTGTTTTGTTTGATGTTGTCCCATAAGTTCCATGTCACTTCTTCACTCTTTCTCATTATTCTTTTGTTACTGTAACTGGATAATTTTAAAAGACCTGTCTTCAAGTTCATTGATTCTTTCTTCTGTGTGATTGAATCTGCTATTGAAAAAAATCTATTGGCTAGGCGCCTATAGCTCAACTGGCTAAGGCGCCAGCCACGTACACCTAAGGTGGCGGGTTCGAATCCCCAGCCTGGGCCCACCAAACAACAATGATGGCTGCAACCAAAAAATGGCCGGGCATTGTGGTGGGCGCCTGTGGTCCCAGCTACTTGGGAGGCGGAGGCAGGAGACTCGCTTGAGCCCAGGAGTTGGAGGTTGCTGTGAGCTGTAATGCCATGGCACTCTACCCAGGGGGACAGCTTGAGGCTCTGTCTCAAAAAAAAAAAAAAAGAAAAGAAAAAAGAAAAAATCTATTGAGGCTGGGCACAATGGCTCACATGTGTAATCTTAGCACTCTGGGAGGTTGAGGCAGGTGAATTGCTTGAGCTCACAGGTTAGAGCAGCCTAAGCAAAAAAGCAAGACCCTGTCCCTACTAAAAATAGAAAAAAAAAAAAAAAGAGGCAAGAAGATTGCTTGAGCCCAAGAGTTGGAGGTTGCTGTGAGGTATGACGCCACAGCACTCTACCTAGGGTGACAGCTTGAGACTCCGTCTCAAAAAAAAAAGAAAGAAAGAAAAGAAAAAGAAAATATCTATTGAGTTTTTCAGTTCAGTCATAATGTTCTTCAGCTCTGGGATTTCTGTTTGGATTTTTCTTATGGTTTTTTTTTTTATTAAACTTCTAATTTTGCTCATGTATTATTTTCCTGTTTTGTTAGTTGTCTGTGTTCTCTTGTAGCTCACTAAGGTTCTCTAAATGATTATTTTTAATTCTTTGCCAAGCTTATCATAAGTCCTCAACTATTTATGGTTGGTTACTGGATTTTTATTAGCTCCCTTTGGTGGTATCATGTTTGCCTAATTCTTCGCGATCTATGTAACCTTGCATTGGTACCTATGCATTTGAAGAAATAAATGTATCCCACTAGGTGTCTGGACAGGCAGGACTGTCCAGTGGTGAAGTGGGCCTGGATCACAGGACTGCTTTAGGGTCCCCTATTTGGGCTTATAGTTAGTGAGATTGTTATGGGGGCACAGATGGGCACAGCTTCTACCAGGTCCCTAGGCGGGCAGGACTGGAGTCAGGTCATAGGTGGCTTCTAGGTCCACATTCAGGTCTAATTGATGGGCCTGTTTCTGGGGACATGGATTGGCATGTTTTCCATCAGTTTCTTGGGCAGAAAGAACTTCCTCCAGACCATGCTAGTGTAGTGCTGAAGCTGAGTGACAGGGCCACTTAAAGGTCCACAGGTTGGTAGCCTACTTCAGGCCTGCCACCAGGATGCAGGACTGCCTTATCAAAGCAGCCATCCTCAGTCCTGGGCTACACTGGGGTTTCTCAACCTCCTACTTGGATCTCAAGGTACCACAAAGACATTTTTGTCCATAGATGGCTGCCAAATTATTTTTTTCTGTAGGTAGATAAGAGCAAGGGACTGCCTATTCAACCAACTCACAGATGTCACTTTCCTGATACTATTTAATTGCTTCCTGGTGATGCTGCTGCTGACGGTCTGTGGCCCATGAGGAACTATCAAAGTCCTAAATGGCTTTCTTCTATGAGAATTTTACAGGAACCCAAAGTAGAAAACTACTGTATTTCACTTGCCTCAGACATAACCTTCTATCCTCTTTCTCCTTCCTGGGGCTTTCCTCCTTTGCATATACCATCCTAACATCTGTCTAGCTGTGATTGTTTTATTTAAATATTGGATCAAAACTACAAGGAAGATATGATGGAGAGAAATTGTTTTATACTCTGTATTCACTTTTTATGCATCTGTAATAATCCCTCCCTACAGGTCTTCTTTGGCAATGTGGACTCATCTGGGATAAAACACAATGTTTTCAACCCTCCAATTATTGCTCAGTACATCCGTTTGCACCCAACTCATTATAGTATCCGCAGCACTCTTCGTATGGAATTGATTGGCTGTGATTTAAACAGTAAGTGCCAAGTCATCCCATATCCTTTCCTCTCCCAACTATGGGTAAAGTGACTAACTTTAAAGTGACTAACTAGTAATCCTGAGACTGAGGGGACGGAGTCCCAGTCTCAGGACGCAGAACTATCAGTGCTGAAACCAGCACAGTCCTAGGCAAAGCCAGGAATTGTTTACTCTCACCAAGGGATTCCCTAGAGGCAACCACCTCCAATAATACTATTAACAAGGAAAATTAATCAAACAGAGCTCAGCAGAGCTGTCCAGAAAACAGGGGTCACATTACAATAACAGAATCTGAATAAAAGTTAATGCTTGAGAAATGATGCCATGATGACAATAGCCCTAGAATATAGGTAGAAGCAGCCCAGTATAACCTAATATGCAGCCTGTTCTTGTGATAACATTATCTATTTATTTCTTTCAGGTTGCAGCATGCCATTGGGAATGGAGAGTAAAAAAATATCAGATGCACAGATTACTGCCTCATCCTACCTCACCAATATGTTTGCTACCTGGGCTCCTTCACAAGCGCGACTTCACTTCCAGGGGAGGACTAATGCCTGGAGACCTCAGGTAAGAGGCAACAGATTTATCATTTAACTGGTCCAGAGAAGGGAGTAGTCATTGGGGAAAAGTAGGTGAATCCCTTGACCATTTCTTCAGAGTTATTTCTGTCAATTGTTATTCATAAAAAAAGTATAGTAGCTAAAGTATATTTTAAAGATAAATATCAGCAATTATTTCTTTCCAGGTTCCTTAGTACTTCCAGAGCTACCCAGTGATTTTTCATTCACCAGATAGCTTTTTTTGGTGGGAATGAACTGTCGCTGTTCCTCCAGGGACTTATTTTAGACAAAATAGGTCACATTCCACATTGCCAAACTTTTTATATGCTACTCAATCTATATGTGGTTCATATATTCATTCAGCTAACATTCACCTATTAAGTGGCTGATGCTGGAAATACAGAGATGAATTATGAAAAATATTGGCCCTCAAGTTGCTTGAAGTCTAATAAGGGAAACTGACAAATCATTAGAATACAGAGTGATAAGTGCTGGTTAAGAAGGGATTTGGGGGCTGGGTGTGGTGGCTCATGCCTATAATCCTAGCACTCTGGGAGGCCAAGGTGGGTAGATTGCTTGAGGTCAGGAGTTCGAGACAAGCCTAAACTAGAGCGAGACCCCACACATACTATAGAAAAACCAAGGCAAGAGGATTACTTGAGCCCAAGAACTTGAGGTTGCTGTGAGCTATGATGCTACAGTACTTTAGTCAGGGTGCCAGAGTGAGACTCTGTCTCAAAAAAAAAAAAAAAAAAAAAGAAGGGATTTGGGGGAGCAAATGGTAATCAAGAGGGTACTAGTTCAACACTGACTTCCCCAGGTGAATAATCCAAAAGAATGGCTGCAAGTAGACTTCCAGAAGACAATTAAAGTCACAGGAATAACAACCCAGGGAGTGAAATCTCTCCTTACCAGCATGTATGTGAAGGAGTTCCTCATCTCCAGCAGTCAAGATGGCCAGCGCTGGACTCTCTTTTTTCAGAATGGCAAAGTAAAGGTATGCTGCTCTCATATGAAAGACAAAAGCAATAAAAACTTTCCTAAAAAAGAAAAATTTTCCTAGAACTTGACATCTAGAAACATAACAAGGTTGATATATGACTAAACTTTCAGGGTAAAATTTACTGAGTACCTATGGTAATAGAACACTGTGAAAGGCATTCTGAGAGAATACAGTGACTCTAAGAAAAAAAGGTAAAATCCCAAGAAAACAGTAGAATAGAACCAAGAGTTAATTCTCCTCACATATGTTGATGTCATTCTAGATAATGGCAAGTATCAGAGGGGTAAAGAAGAATGAGTTATTTGACAAATGGTTAATAATGTTTATATCCTCATCAGCAACCTACATCTCCAAGTCTTGTTGACCTTTAACTTTAGTGGTCTTATTTGAGTCTTCTGGATAATTAAACAAATGATCTGATTAGAATACATGACATAAAGTCTTATCCTGTAAGTAAAATGGGGAATAAATAGTTCATATCTGTGGTATTTTTATATTCCTTTTCACCAAGAAGTAACTATGATGTGGCCCTTATTGATTTCTTTAATCTAGTCTCTTGCCACTTTCCCCTTCGACAAGTTCCATCCATAGTAAGCAATTCTCAGGTCCCTAATTATAGTACATTATATCTCACACCAGGCTTTTATATACATACCATTTCTTCTGCTGAGAACATTTTTCTAGCAATCTCCTGCTCCCCCTTTCACCTGATTCATTCTTTAAGGTTACCTGAGACTTCTGCTTCTAGCAGTTTGGTGGACTAAAGTCTACAATGGATATTATAGAGGAAATTCCTATTTAAAGAAAGTTATATCTTAGTTTCATGCTATAACACAAATGAACTTTGAAAATATGCTAAGTGAAAAGGCCAAACATAAAAGAATAAATATTATATGATTCTACTTATATGAGTACATTAATTAGGGATATACAAAGAAGCAGAACCAATAGGAGATTGGATTTATATATCATCTCATATATGGAATTGGACAATTGCAGAGGCTAACAAGTCCCAAGGTCTTCAGGGTGAATCAGAAAGCTAGAGGTGACTCAGAGGAGCCAATGGTATAGTTCTAGTATGAAGGACAGAAGACTTGAGACTCAGGAGGAGCTAAGATGCTTTAGTTCAAGTCTGAAGTCAAGAAAAAGCTTACTCTTCTAGCTGGGCATGGTGGCGAGCACCTGTAGTCCCACCTACTCAGGAGGCTGAGGCAAGAGAATTGCCTAAGCCCAAGAGCTGGAAGTTGCTGTGAGCTGTGACTCCATGACACTCTACCAAGGGTGATAAAGTGAGACTCTGTCTCTAAATAAAAAGATTACTCTTCTCCTTGATATTTCATGACATAAATACTATGAAGTAAAGTTAATGGTACTTAAATACCATGATATAAATAATGCATCATATGTTTCACAATAAAGGGGTAAGAAAAGTAATAAAACAAAATATAATATATGCATACAAACAAAATAAGGAGGAAATATGATAATAACAATCCTCATTTCTGTAATTGGTCACATGTTCATAGCTGGTATTTATAACTATCTTCTTCCACTACCCATTCTCTTTGCCTTCAGCAAGTACCTCAACTAGTTGTGGTTCTTTACCTAGTAGGGTAACTCAAAAATTTATTCCTGAAGAGCCAGGGCCACTATTAGTCCAACCTGAATTGGGTTGTGGAGGTTTTCCATTGACCTTAATCATGGGTCATAGTAATACTAAGAGAGACTCCAAGGAATCTCCTTTATTCCAGACATACTCTTCCATACCTTTAATGTGGAGTAGGAGTTCAATTTTTCATTGGTGCTTTGGATGAAATACCCCAGGCAACACCATAATTCCCTTCTTTGTCTTTTGATTCAAAAGCATGAGGAACCCAAAGTGGTGAGGCTTCAGTCTTAACTTTCAGGTCAGCATAATATTTGTTGTGTCTCCTCGTGGAAGAATTTCTCCCTCTGGAAGTAAGATCTCTTAGCCAGCAGAATACAAGATCATGTGAATAGCAATTTTTTTTTCTAGTACATCACTAGGGGTAATAGTGAGTGGTGCCACTCCCATTTCCATCCCTTGATTTGTGGACCCATGAACCTTGGCTACAGGAAAAACAACACTATATATCAGCTGATTCAGAAAATATGAGGTCTGACAATTAAGTGTACAAACTTGCCACTGTGCACAAACACAGTGTACAAACCTTGATATATGAGGGTCCCAAAGCTGTGTTTGTGTCAATGTCTGCTAGTACCTTGCTGAGTGACATTCATTATTGTTGTGTGTTTTGTGTGCCACCATAACAATGTTGGATCTTGAATTAGAGCAATGAACAAACATTAAATTTCTTGTTAAACTTGGCTAGACTGGAAGTGAAATCAGGGACACATTAATGCAAGTTTATAGGGATAATGCCATGAAGAAAATGGAAGTGTACAAATGGATTAAATGTTTTCCTGAGGGGAGAGAAAGTGTTACCAAAGAGAGGTCAGGGCAGCCAGTAACAAGCAGAACTGATGAAAAGCTTGCAAAAATTCATTGAATTATGCATCAAAATTGTTAGATAAGCACAGTGGATTGAGGCTGAGGCAAGAGAATCACTTGAGCCCAAGAGTTTGAGGTTAGCACTCTACCGAGGGTGACATAATGAGACTCTGTCTCCAAAAAAATAAAAAAATAAAAGTGAGTAAAAATGCCAGGTACAGTGGCTCACACCTGTAATCCCAGCACTCTGGGAGGCTGAGGCAGGAGGATCACTTGAGCTCAGGAGTTCAAGACCAGCCTGAGCAAGAACTAGACCCCCATCTCTACTGAAAATAGGAAAACTAGCAGGGAGTGGTGGCGGACATCTGTAGTCCCAGCTATTTGGGAGATTGTGGCAGGAGGATCACTTGAGTCCAAGAATTTGAGATTGCTGTGAGCTATGATGCCACAGCACTCTACCTAGGGCAGCAGAATGAGACTCTGTCTCAAAAAACAAATGAGTAAAAGATTTCAACAGGAAATTCTCCACAGAAGATATACAAATGTCCAACAAGCTCATGGAAAGGTACACAACATTATTTGTTATCAGGGAAATGCAAATCAAAACCACAATCAAATACCACTGTGCAGGGGGGCGGAGCCAAGATGGCAAACTGCAGCCAGCTTTTTACAGAAGCTCCTGTCCAGAAGGAGGCTGAAAGGACAGAACCTTAGCAAATTAGCTGATGGTTTGGAGCAGAGAC